AAACATAATTCACCTTTAATGTTTATTATATAACATCTCTGGAATTTGAAATATGTTAGCATACTTACCAAGTAGTTCTTGATAGTTTATTACTATTTACACAAAGTCTTTAATAACAATAATCTTTATGATCAAATATCAATGTTTGTCATTTATTCAAGTGCTAATAGTGAATTTTTATATTAATTGAAGGAACCCCTGCCAATTTTGAAATGGTCTTATTTACTTAAGAGACAAATAAATGTATAGAAAAACAGGAAAATATATTACAGATCAATTCAGATATCAGACTGATTAATATTAGTGAATTTATTATATTTATGAAATCTGCAATATCTATATATACATATATAAAAGGCAGAATGTGTGTGTGTGTGTTAGTTTATATGTTTGATCGAATCTCCTATATTTTTCAATTGATTTCAACCAAATTTGACACAGTTACTGCTAATGGTCCTACAGAGGTTTTGATGGTGCCAAAATTGATTTAAGTCAATATTATCAATTTTCATTTTTGATCGGACGCACGCCTGTGTGATTATGTGCATTCACTGCACACAAGCAGATATGGGCACTTTTCATTTCAGAATTAATAGCGGTAGCATAATTAGAAAAATGTCGGATTTAAGTGCTTATATGGGAATAAGAAAGGACAAGAATGGCCATATTTTGGATTTGGATGCAAAAGTTATCATAAGGAAGGATTTCTGTCGCAGCCGAACTTTGCGCTCCAAAAGCCTATCCGATTAGTGTTATTAGTCACACATGGCTTGCGTAATGCTTGCTGCTGATTGGCCCATTCACACTCTGGGGTTATGCGAGATCATGTGTGAATGCGGGGGTGTCACATGTGCACACATCAAGCATCCCAAATGGGGTAGAGGTTTCAAGTAGCCTACTTTTGTTTCAGGATTTAACCCTCATACCATGGTTTTTAAAAAGGATCTTTTAATGTTTCAATGCAGGCATGCATTACTTTCCATGTTTTCTGCATTTGCACAGTAAACGTCAAGGCCATTTTAAAAGGGATTTACAGAGCTACATGTCAAATTTTACCAGAAAAATTAGTAAAAACAAGGTGAACTGCTGCTTTTTAGGTGTTTGTAGCCCATTTAGCCTACTAAAGCATAGGATTGAATTCAGTGAGCAATCACTAACACATTTCATGCCACTTCATGCTACCACTTTTAAGCCAAGTGGACAGTATCGGCTCCCCACAATTTTCTAATTTGTCCAATTTTTCACATTTGATTGCATTTTTTTCGTTTGAGGGGACACCGGTGGACTGTTATGTCTTTTCATGCCGTTTACGTGTAGCAAAAGACACCTACTCACTATAATTTTACTACTGTGCATCACTGCCCAAAAAAAGTTCTCACACGTTTTCATCTAAATTCATGCTACTTAAATACCTTCATCATCCATCAGTAAACGAAATTAACATTGCTTCAAATTTTGTTCATAAGAAGTGTAAAAACGCTTGTATTTTCAACTTTTGATCAATAAAACTACCTCATATCTCCTGGCTGCTCAAAATTTTCAAAGAAAATGAAGCTTGAAAATCCCATTTTCTGATTGACTGACTTTGAGAGACTGCGCTACATCAGTGACGACGTAAATCAAAAAGGCAATGCTTATTTTGGGATAAGGAACTACATATTTTTCATATTTATCAATAAAAAACCCGATACAATAAAGTCGCCAGATACTATTTTTCTAACATCATCCACCACTGTGCACTGCTTTGACTAACCCAGCTGGAGGTTAACCAATCGCATCAACTATTCAAGGTTGCTGTGAGCTCATTGGCACAGTTGCAAGCGTTTAACCTTGGGCCCATCTAATCATATGTGCAAGCAGTTCTCTTACGCACGCATGTGCACGTGCGTATGTACGTCACCTTAGTATGTGCGCTCAAAGTCAACCGGCCAACTGCCTCTTTATACCATAACTTGCACATGTGTTCACACTTCTGCAATTACTGTCCTGCACTTGGCTTACTAAATTTGCTTCTTACAGAAACCGCAAGTTGTTGATTACGTGTGCAAACTGTTTTACTTCTTAGTTATCACTACATCTGTTTCCACATTTATTGAATTTACATCCCAAATTACCTACCATTTCAGCTTTCATTGAATTTTTTAAACTTCACTTTTCTTGTCTTTCATCCCCTTTTGATACAGTTACATACATTTTTGGGATCCCTCTAACCTGCCTATGTTTAGACTACATGTATTTTTTGCACTCAAAAAACCTACATACCTTTTATTATGTTTGCTTTTTTAAAATTGGTTAAAATGCCGCCTAAGAGAAGAAAACTTTTTGGATGCTACAAGAGCAGCAAGGGCAAGTGAAACCACAGAGCAAACTTTGTTGCACCTTTCTCAGATGGCCTCACGCTTTGCTGCCCACATCTCCACGGAAAGTACCGCTGAACGAACTGAAAGGCTGGCATCAGTAGCATCAATTATGTCATCACGACATGCTAGACTTTCAATTGAAGAGCGTTTAGTACAGTATACACAGGCCGCAATACGCATTTCTAGGGCTAGGGCTTCCAAGTCCCCAACATAGACAATCCTTCGGTGTTTAAGGAATGACAGCGCTACAACCTGTTCTAGAGCTTTAGAAAGCCCTGGACGAATCACTTTACGTTGTCTTAGGAATGCTAGGGCTACAGCATCTTCCAGGGTTTCGGAACAACCTCAACAAACTGCTATTTGTTGTTTAAGAAATACCAGCGCCACTGTTTCTGCCAGAGCTTTAGAAAGTCCTGTGCAGACCGCTAATTGTTGTTTGAGGAATTCCAGATCTACTGCGTCTGCCAGAGCTTCAGAAAGCCCTGGGGTATGGTGAGCATGGCTCAACAACAATGGCCAAATCGCAAGGACAGACGCTCAACATCATGGGTCTACATTTAGGTGAACAGTGTTTTGCGCATGGACAGCTTTACGTAGGCTGCTCCCGAGTTGGGAGTAAGAATAATGTTTACGTTTACTCTCCAACAAACAAAGCTAAAACTATTACCTATGCAGAAATCCTATAGCCCATGGTCAGTCATGTTTAAACACAATGTACACGTCTTTATGTCAGCTGCATTGTAGGTTCCTTCATTTTTGAACCCACTCATTTAAAGGTCGTTGTAGTATCCACTTGCCATTACTAAGACATTTTATTAAAGGTTGTCTTGCTCATCAGATGCTCCCGTATCACTTACCCCACCACCATCTGCATTCACACTTACATGTTGACCATGTAACCATATTCAGTTGCAACACAAAACCAATACGTGGGAAGGTGGATTCATTTAATTGTCAGAGAAGTCAAGTGCATCCATGCAATTCAGGCCTCAGCAAAAAGAAGTAGGATAAAAAAAAAAAATAGCAGCATACAGCGTTATAATATGCATTCTCTGCCATACATCGTCAGTGTGTTTCTCCCCTTACCATAAGGGCTGCTTTAGGTAACGCTATGTGCACTTCATGCTGTTATAAAATAAAATAAGACATATCTTGGCTGATTTACAGGCAAATACTCAAGAGCGAGAGCCGGATGTGAACGGGACAAAGCCCCGTCACAAAATGACCATTATCTTCATTTACAAATGTTCCCGAGACACGAATTCCGGTCGAAAAATAAAATAATATTCAAAGTGTTCTATTTTTCATCCAATAAAAATGCTTCCCTTCTAATTATACTCGCTTCGTTTTTTGAGCCTGTTAAGCCATAAAAAAACGCTATAAAAAGGGTCACACGGAAGTTCAACAGGCAGTTACAGGTGCCCAGGGTAGAGACCTGTCACGGTCAGCAGTTGACAGCAGGGGAGCATCAACCACCGTCAACGTGTGTGAACTACTATGAGAGATTGACCTAGATCCGAAGCCGGCTTATGAACTTTACCACAAGGTAGCTGTCCCAAACCCACCCGTTCCTGTTGAAATAAACCACGTAAATCTATTTCTGATGTTGTCGTATTTCTTTCTTGCAACCATACGCTTGTCTATAACAAAAATAAATTTGTGCCACTTACAAGTACTTGCCCAGGCACCTTCCCATACTTGGTATGTGGTTCTGTTTGCGGTAGTGGCAGCACCGTCTTTTGGGCAAAAGACACGTCTACCTTTCACTACGTTGCAACTGACACAGGGCTTCATATAATGTCTTGCACTTAGGGATAATAAAACCATCCCATCGGAATACAAAGCCATCTGCCACAACTCACCAAAAACTTCCTAAGGCCCGTGTTCGTATTGAACTTGACAATTTTAATTGGAGGTGTCTTAGTAATGGCAAATGGCTGATGCTACCATGGCTGAACATTGTTTCCTTTTAAGCCTTACAATTTTTTCTTCTGTTGTGCTGATGAATACCGACAACTTGTGTACATTACATTTTTTTACGTGGACAGCCATCAGTACTACTAGACTTCAGCCTTACATACATGTACAAAATCAGTATGGCGATATGACCATCCATTCACAGTGCTTTACTGCTAGTTTTATTTATAATAACATAAAGGTGAATTTTTTTTATTTAGTACATACAAACTTTTTTGTTTCTTTTATTATCTAACAAAGGTGATTCATTTATATACTGAGAAAGATATATATTCAATTTTGATTTTGAAATGTACTGAATATAAATTAATTGAAAATAAAAGATACTGATATATATTTAACCAGAATATTTTGGATATTGTTAAATAACTCACATTGTCAACTAAGTAAGAATAGAATAAAAATGTAGTATTTGCTATATTACTTTTATTGTGCAGTAACCAATTTTCAATGCTATTGAAAAAATGTAGTCATTTGTTGAAGTCAGGTTGGCTGAATAGAAAAGCCATTTGTCTTTGCAGAGTCCTGCGCAAGCACAGGAATGAGATTTTAAGTCAGTTTGGTGCTGCTGGAAGTGAGGCTGGAAGCAGTGCCACTCTGCCAACTTCTGAGTCTTGCCGACATCGGCCGAAAGCATTTCCAGCCACTAACAGCCTTGGCCGCATGTGCTCAGGTAAGGAATATTTGTTTTAGTTCTGTACTTTGTAAGTCATTATTTATTTTTTACACGAATCAAAAAATGATGAGTATCTAATAGGATTTTTTTTTTTTTTTGAGTGATTTAGAGAAAACCATTTATTAACCATTTAGGTATATCAGTTAAAATTAATTTCCCTACTGACAACAGGGGAATTGGACTTAGGCAGTGTTCTAATAAAACTAGGTAAGACTAGCAATAATATGAGTATTTATTTATTTATATTTTAGGTAACTTTTTGTTATTTATTATTTTTTATTCAGTCAAGCTAACTAACATTTATGAGTCTATCATACCAACCATCACAGTCCTGCATCAAGGTTGGGAGGTTTTTAGGGTGGTATTCTGTGTCAACATAGCTGGTCAAAAACTCAAAAATCAGAATGAAACTGTTCAAAATAGGATCAAGAACCAATGATGTTGAGTTATGCCTATTTAAAATAATGAAAATGAATAACTGTTTTCTATGAACAGCAAAATATTAAAACAGAAAAAAAAATAGTTTATAGATATGAAAAAAAATCAAATATATATATATGTTTGTATATATTCTTTTTATTTTTCCAGGGATGTCCAAAGTACAGCGGAGAAAACATGCCCCTCCCCCACCCCCACCTCGTCGAGAATCTCTTCTCTGTGAAAACAAAAGTGAACCAAGTACACCAGGAACTCCAGGTACTCCACAAACTCCAATGACGCCCCAGACCCCAGTGACACCACAGACCCCAGTGACACCTCAGACCCCAGGTACTCCACAAACACCAATGACCCCTTATACCCCACCTCCACCACTACCACCTCCAGCATCTGCAGAGACGGGAGTGGTGGTGGATGGCATGATGGGAAAGGCAATTGTAGAGGAAGAAGAAGTTCAGACAACAAGGAAAACAATTTCAGCACCAATGGTACCAAATATGCACAACAAAACATCAGATACAGTAGATGAGAAAATGATTTTAAATGCTGACGGGGCAGCATTGGATGGTCAAGCTGGCAGTCATAATTTTGCTATTGCTACTGAATACCTTGGAGATGCATGGGTGCTACATGGTGTTGAAAAGATCAAGAAAGATGCAAAGATCAATGTTCGGGAGAGCATTCTTGCTTTGCAGAGTGTTGTTGAATATTTCAAGGAGACAGTGCCAGAGCTTGACCAACTCTGCTCACAGGCACTGACAGTAATTACAAAGGTGAGTAAATGATTAGCATTAATTTTCATCTTTAAGAAATGATCATAATCAAAAGCTAGATAATTATTTCCCATACAACAATATGCTCTCTTTTCAAAGAAATCTCTCATACTCTCAATATTTTCTACTTGATTTCATTTATCATCTTCTTTGATTCTTCTTATTAGTGGAACCACATTGACAGCCATTTTTCAAAAATATCAAACTAAAATCATTAAACTATTTTAAAATGAATATAAATTAATTCATATTTTAAAAGTAGAAAAGCTCAATTGGTAGAGTTTTATTTTCCTGATTTGATGCCAATTCCCTTTTATTTTTTATGCAAATTTTTACAAGTCTCATTTAATTTACACTTTAATTGAGATGATTATTTTTTATATAGAGAGTTCAATGTTCTATTACTGCATCATTTGTATACCTCCCTGCAAAATGAAATACATTGTTGTTACGACTACTTGAATCCTGTAGGCTTGGATATGTGAGTATAGCATCATCAGAATAAAGTTTATAAGCTTACATATGTAGACATGAGAGGAAAAAAAAACCTGATGTAAATTATGGAAGCAAACTTTATGTTTCAGTCTGTGATGTACTTTACATTTATACAGTTTTGATTATTCTTTAATCAAAGTAAAATTTTTAATATTTTCAAACATAAATCTACTGTAACGTACTTTTCATATTTCTTTATAAAGATATTATTAGTTTTTATTACAATAATACATTAAGAAGTGGACATTAATGTATATTTGAATTTGCATTTGAAATATAAAAAACAGTTATAAATTGATGGATGAAATGAATATGATTTTGTTACAGCATTAAAACAAAATTATTTTTAATGAATATACAGTGAATGAAAAAAGACAAAGCTATTAAGCATTCTGCTTATTTTTTGCATACAGTATAATTTGCATGTATCAGTGTCTTTACTAGCAAGTAGGTTAGTTAGTAATAATGGGAATGTGTAGATTCACTTTCACAGTTGTGTGCATGCATAGATGTGAGAGTTTAACATACTTGTACTGATAGTTTTGATAAGGTCAAATTGGCAGCTGATCTCAGAAATGGCCTTCAATCTGTTAACTGAGGCAAGAAATGGCTTGTTAATTTTAACACCCCAAAAGAAAATTGCTCTCTTTTAATTGTCTTAAAGAACCTTTTTTGCCTTCCATTAGTATAGCTGATGCTAACCTCCAGGAGAGTAACTCATTGTACCTTCTCTGACTAACGTTTTCGACTGATATAAAGTGTAATGATTATATTGAAACAATTGCTAGAATTGCCAGAATCTAGCGTACACCTTTAGTCTGCCAATCATCCATGTATTGAATATTACTGTTACATTTGGTCTGGTGCTTCTGCTATAAATTTAGAGATTCTTGACAAAAATCTAACAATCTGCAATGTTATTGGTTCTGACTTGGCATCTCAGCTTCAATCACCTTCCCACCACTGTAATGTAGCTTCCCTGTGCCTTTTCTATAAATATTATCATATGTTCTGATAAGCTGGCCTCTACACTTTTTGAATTTAAGTTCAGTACTAGATTGGCAACAAGGTCTTATTATTTTATAGTTGAAATTGCTAGGTATAACCCTAAGTTCTATGCTCTTGCACTTCTCACTGGTGGAACTCTCTTCTGGCTTTTTGCTTTCCAGTTAACTTTGACCTTGAAAAATGAAAATGCAATGTCAATTTTCATCTTTTGTCTCCTTGAATTTTGTTCTTTTATTATCCTCTCTCCTTAATGAATTTTCTCATATTCATTCATTTTCAGTAATCCCTTGAATCTTAGTGGCTTTATTGTCTTGCTTGGAATGAAACAATTAAAAAAAGATTGTTCATAGAAAAAATACTGTATAAAAGCATCCTTGAGTGAAATTACTGTCGATTTAGTTCAGCACAGGATTTGAAAATGCAAACCGTTTTCTGAATATTTATTACACTTTAGAAAGAAACAGATTGGACTAGAAGATTTCTTTGTTATAAAATTTGTTGAGCTTTTTTTTTTCTTCGTGAACGAAATTAGTAATAGTTTTACTGCATTTTTAATTTTACAATTCAGAGCTGATTTTCTGTAACTAGGTGTCCTGTTTGATAAAAACATTGATAATTTAAATTCTCAAAGGACTTATCATTGTAACTGATATAAACAATAAGCAATATAAAATATGATGGTAAATGATGCATTTGAGATTTTTTAAAGAAGAAAATTCTTCTATTAATAATTATAATAATTATGTTTTGATCATGTTAATGTTGCTAGGAGTCAAGGGATAGGTGCATAGTATCTTGTAAGATCCTTTTTAGTCTCATGTTGTACATCAACTGAATATGATATTGATTCCACAGATAAGTCAGAAGACCTCTAGAGAGATGTTGAGCCATGCTGCCTCAATATATGTCTCCAGCTCTCTGATATTTGTAGACATGCAACATTTTGCTTGCAAATAGATCTCTCTACCACATCCCCTAAATGCCCAATTGGGCTAATGTTTGGTGAATGTGGTGACCATACCATTCATTGGAAGTTTCCAGAATGCTTCTCAAACCATTTCTGGACAATCTGGGCTCAGTGACAACAGTGAATTATCCAGATGAATGATCTATTGTTATTGAACATTGGCTACCAGTGTAGCCAATATTCATATTGACTGACTAGATGTCAGATCACAGTTGATATAGGTTTTGGCATTTCTATGACATCAAGCTATGGTGGAGCCCTCTTTATATACTGCTTTTACTTGATTTTTGGCAAAGCTCTTTCTTTTATTATTGGCACGTTTTTGAATGTAGCATTCCTCTTTATGGAGAAATCAAGTTTCAATTATAAAAATGTCAGTTTTTTCTTGATTTTTTTTTTTTTTTTTTTTTTTTTTAAGCAAACGAAACAACATTTCTACAGAAACGCACCTCACCAAGAAATAATTTTCTCATATTACTATCAATTAATGACTTCAGACCACCAACATAAAAAAAAAATTCTTTTTTTATATTCATGATCTGGGGTGCAGAATTGGTAGTAATATGAAAACAAAATTTAGAAAACATGATTATTTTTTTTATTTTTTTTTTTTGAGAAATACAAAACTATAGCAAGATTTTATTTATTTTGAAAAAATCTCGAGTATTGCTGATTTTAGCATCCTAAACAAATTCTGCATACCAAGCATTGAACTACCTTATGTCTTTACATACATAGCCTCATATTCCTCTGGACTTTTAAAGTCACTTATTGGTCACAAATGCTGATAGTGATAACACATGCAATGTGCATAGGTGAAAATTTTTTTCTTTTACAATAATGCTCACCCTGTACAAGGCCAAAGAGTAAGAGGCACAGTTTATGTGGATATGTGTGGAAGATAAAGTTTTTGTTTGTTGTGATCAGGGAATCATCCTCTTGGGATTTGGTTCCACAAAGCTGAATTTCATAAGAATAAACTGCACATGTGGAACTTACATCTTACTAATAGAATACAAAAGAAATGAGGGTGGTTCGCTACAATGTGCATGGCATGGTGGGTCTTAGCTATGAAGATTAGAACTGGTGGAACTAAGAAATATAGTTTGTTTGAGCACTTTCCATGGAAATAGTGATAGAGCAGTAAAAGACTTGTGATGTTTCATCTGTGAGAAAGGGGTTGTATTGTGGAAAATAATTCATCACCCACAAAGACACAGATGATTATGATCATAAAACTGGAAAGTGAGAATTGGGAAGCTCCTGCCCATATATGGCAACAGTACTCCATTTTCAGCCTGACCTGGCTCTTGTAAAGATAGAGGATAGCAGGAGGAGTCAGGTATTTACTGGAGCAGTACAAAGAACCAACCATCTTTCCAGAATCTTTAGCAACAGATCGTATGTACAAGTTCCACTTGTGATCTGGGTTGAGAATCAATAGGTTCTCAAGGCATAAGGCCTCCCTGAGTGAACATCCATTTATTGCGATTGGTAAAAGTTCTGGGTTAGATCAGCAATAAATGTAACTACTGTATCATGTGACTTTTGAAGACCTAATTTTAAGGGGATCGCATCATACATGAGATACAAAATTAACGTATGTACTGCTGGCCGTTGACCAAAAAACTATATCCATTAGTCAAAAAGTACAGCTGTATTTTATTTAAAATAAACATGATTTTTGATAAAACTTATGTTTTTACTTAACTCTATCCAGTAATGCATGTAATATGCACATAGTATCACATTAATACAGAGAATATGCATCTTTTCTGTTGTTTACGTTTGTTTATGTTTTTAGCTGTTTCTCGTTCGGTTGTTTATGGATGTAAGCGTTACTAACAATAATTTTGTCATTCATTCTCTTTTATATTTTTAACTTATATTTAAATTGAGGAAAAGTGGTTAGTCTATTGTTATTTCGTCTCTTAAAAAAGGAACTCGCATGAAACACGTGTTACATTTTTTATAAGTGAAAATTTGGGGGTCGCACGCTACGCGAGATCGTGCGTTGCACGAGTATGCAGTAGCTTGTTTTCTGAGGCATTGAATGTGACCAGCCAATTTTTTTTTTTAGAGCTAGGGCAAAGGAGAGCAGTTGCCAAGATCTGAGTTTTGGAGGCGCACCTATATACCATTGTTATCAGCATATTCACAAATGGTCGAAGTCTATACTCTTCTTAGGTAGATCATTTGTAAAGAAAGTAGAAAGAGGTTTGGACAGAGAAATTAACCTTTGGTTGATCGCTTAGGATTTGGAGGACTGGACGCTACAAAAAATCAATAAATAAACAGCGAAAGCAAGTTTTTAATTTAATATTTGAAGACAGCACCTACTTTTTAGAGATAAGAGAGGTGTTCAAATGCGTCGATGTATTTTCTTTATAAAGTTGCCTTTTTAGTTTTTACTATTTACGTAAAAAAAAAAAAATAAAAAAAAAAACGTTACGCTCGCTTCCGGATTAAATTTAATGAGATTACAAAATTTATTTATCACCGAAAAAACAACGTTGTATCATGACGCGTA